AACAGTAGCTGTTCTATAAGTTTTAGCTGTTCTAAAACTTATTTCCTCTTATCAATCCTCCCCCATGACCCCAACCCCTTAGTTGAAGACTGTGTCTCTTAAATCACTGAGAAAATAGAGGCCATTTGTGCTAAGTTCCTTTGTTTTCTTGTTTCTTCATCTCAAACCCCCCTGACATCATCCCTTAGTCTCAGTAATGAGAAGGCTTCTCTCTTTTCAAATGTGCCTTTCATCCCATTCTGTTCTATTTTCTCTAGCAGATTGCCCCCTCAGTCACAGCTTTTCTCATTCCAATCTCTCTGTACCTAATGGTTCTTCCCTAATTGCCTTCAAACATACCCATATAGTCCCATCCTAAAAAAACAAAAACAAAAACAAAAAACCAACTTAACTAGACCCTGCAATCTCATGTTATCATCATATAACTCTCTTCCCTTTCTAAACCAAATTCCTAGAAAAAGCTGCCTACACTATTATTTCTACGTCCTTTCTTTTCAAAAGTTTGCAACCTGGCTTCCAGCCTCATTACTCAATTCTCTCTCCAAAGTTATTAGCCATTTTTAGACCCATTTTTCCTCTGCCATTCCTTTTCTTTTTTTTTTTTTTTTGGCAATTGGGGTTAAGTGACTTGCCCAGGGTCACACAGGTAGTAAGTATCAAATGTTTGGTCTAAGGCTGGATTTGAACTCAGGTCCTCCTGACCTCGGGCTGGTGCTCTATCCACTGTGCCACATAGCTGCCCCTTCCTCTGCCATTCCTTTTGTGCTCTCTGGAACCCTCTCCCCAAAATTGTTAACCAACTCTCTTTTGTTCTAGACCTTTTCCTTTCACATTCCTTCCATTCCCCGATATTCCTGAAACCTAGGTTTCTCTTGAAGCATCACCATCTTCCAGCACTCTCTTTAGGGATGGCTGTTCCTTCTTCCACATCTCTTGATAATAATAGCTGTAATGATAAGTTAGCATTTAGGACCTGGAGGGAGGAGTTGGAATACTCCTTTTGCAGTAGACTTTCCCCTCCAAGGCTGTCTTTCATTACTCAGTGTATGTCATGTATATACCCATTTATATCCATGTTTTCTCCCCTCATTGTAATTTAAACATTTTGAGAGCAGGAACTATTTTCCATTTTCCTTTGCATCTGTGTTGCTTACTTAGCATAAAATACATGCTTAATAAATGCTTCTTAGTTGATTGATAGGTACCTTAGTTCCAAGCTCCCCAAGCCCTCTTCAACTGAATTTGTCCCAAGTGCTAGAAATCCTAACCAGGGCCCACCTCAGTGGAAAGCCACTAGAAAGTGTTACTAAGATGAGGGTCATAACCAATGGATGGGGAAGTAAAGTGAGGGGCACAAGCAGAGAGCATTGAAGAAATGGCAGCAATTAGTTAAATCCCACAATTGTGAACTGTGGAAAAGTTATCTTTGAAAAGGAGGAAATAAGACAAGGCTCCTAATAAATACCACTAAACTAATGCAAATGCTTCCTGGTGTATTTTTGGGCATGAGGCCCAAGGCATTAAAAAAGAAGGGCCTTGGACCATAGTAAGAGATAACAGATGTGAAATGAGTAAAAAGGAAGTACTAATTCTAGTCAAAGGAACTTATAGAAATCAACACTGTAAAACTTTTCTAGGAGATAACTTACTTATTTACTTACTTACTTACTCTGGACTCCCTCTAAAGCTTGGTCTCAGAGTAAGAATACCTATCCATTTTAATGGACAAGACAGGTAAGACAGATTCTATCAGGCCAATTAGGGTTGACATTAAAAAATCTAGATTGCAACCAGACCAAACCAATCATTTTAATTACTGTACCCAGAGACAGAGTCAATGGGCTGTATAGACAGCCAATCAGAAAGACCTGGTTTCAAAAATAGTAGCTAGGATTCAGGGGTGGGGAATCTGTGGTCCTCTAAGTCCATTCTGTGGAAGTTTGGATTCAATCAAAGGGCAGCACTTGAGGAACTAGAGGGCCACATGTGGCCTCCAGGCCACAGGTTCCCCACCCCTGATATACAGCTTAAAGGTTTGCAAAGCACTTTACATTTGCTCTCTTTTGATCTTTACTGCAACCCAGTGAGGTAAAAGCTATTATTTTTCCACTTTATAGACAAGGAAATTGAGGCTGAGAGCAGCCAAATGACTTGCCCAGGGTAACACAGATTGGAAGTGCCTAAGGGAGGATTTGAATTCAGATCTTCCTCATTCCAACACTCTATCCACCACATTACCTTCCAAGTCCTATCTTTCTTAAACACTGGCTCTGTAAGGCTGGGTAATTATATCACTTTACCTTCCAGGCAATTCCCTAAGAATAAGTTTCAGAGCAGCTGTGGATGTATACACACAGAGGGAATTTCCTTGCCAGGAGTTCCCTATCCCAGTGAAATCATGGGTCTGGACTCTCCCCCTCCCTCCAAATACTAATAGATACAGATTCCTGTGGTGACTAGTCTTGCTGTAAGTGGTCTAAAGCCTTGCCTCTGGGCTGGCTTGATGGTTACACAGACAGGCTTGTCTTAGAGGTACCCACTTTCTGGACTCTCAAAAGGAACAGAAAATTAAAATGATGAAGAACAGGAGCTTACTCTGGATGAGCTGTTCACATACTTGGCGAGCCACTGTACGAACCATGGCATGAGACTGCAAATCACCCTGGATGGACAAAAAGAAAAAGAAAAAAGCATTCACCGCTCTCAGATCAGTGAGCACAGCCAATCAACAAGAATTTATCAAGCTTTTCCCATGTGCCAGGAATTGAGCTAGGGATAAAAGAATAAAAAAAGAAACAGACACTATGGAGGAGAAAACATGTGCAAATATAAATATAAACATATTTATAATAAATAGAATTAATATATAATATATTTATTAATAAATATAAATATATATTATGTACATATATAGTAATCAACTAATTAAAATAAACTAAAATAAAAGTTAAATATATGTATGCATAGATTATATATACACAATGCATAAATATAATGAATGTCAATATATGAATATATTATATAAGTACACATTATATATTATACATATATATAAAATAAAAGACAAGATAATTGGGGGGGCAGCTTGGGGGAAAAGCAATAGAGAAGATCAGGAAAAGCCTCATGGTAGATAGAGATAGCCAGGTGGCTCAGTAGATACAACTCCGAGCCTGGAGTCAGGAAGACCTAAGTTCCAATCTAGCCTCACATACTTACCAGCTCTGTAATGCTGGGCAAATAGTTTGACCTGTCTGCCTTAGTTTTCTCAATCGTAAAATGGAGAAAATAATAGCCCCTGTCTCTCAAGGTTATTCTGAGACACATTAGCAGGTGTTATATAAATGCTAGCTATTATCGATGTGGTGAAGGTCACTTTTGAGCCAAGTTTTGAAAGGAACAACTATAAACACAGCCTTGTCTCCCAAGCAATTGTAGGGGTTCTCCTGAAGGATAGGGTCTATGAGGCATCCAGATCACCACTGAAAGGATAGGTTGTGGCCTATTCTATTATCACTTCTGTTGAATTTAAATGGGACCCCAGCCCTGTGGTGGACACAGGGAGCCAAGAACCTTTCACACTCATATTGTCAGTTTTCCCAGATGCATTGTTCGAAGAAAAAGCTATTGGATGCTTCTGCTATTTAAGCCTACAAAAGACACTAAAACAAACCCATGGATTCTATCAGAGCTACCTTGGTAACTTACAATACCTCTGAAAGTGAAGGGAAGAATCTCAAACTAGGTAAGAGCTTTACCAACCACTATTGCCAACACTGCTTAGATTTTGGGTCAACATTTATTACATAAGATTTCTAATATATTATTCAATTAGTTCTTTGATTCTGTGTCTGACTCTGGTGTGCTGGCTCGCCTTTACCTTTCCAGGCTGGAACAAGCCCATCAAGAAAATGAGTATATTATGATAACAATAATAATAATAACAGTAACAATAAGAACAACAGTAATTACATTTTTATATAAAACTTTTAACTTTTTGAAACACTTCTGAAGCTATTAAAACATTTGCTCTTCACAACAACCCTGTGAGGTAGGTAGGACAAGTAAAATTATTTCCATTTTACAAATGAGAAAATGGGCCTGTAGGGGTCATTAGCAGAGGTAGCTCTAGAGGCCAGACCCTTAGCTCAGGGCTCTTGCCACAACAACATAATGCCTCAACACTTTTTAATATCAAAGGAGATGCAGGAGGGGCCTAATAATGAAAAATAATGACAAGAACTACAAATTCTTTAGTAAAAACATGTTTGAATGGCTGACATAAGAGCAGCTGCCAGAGCTATGATGAGGGGTTTTTACACAAGAGACAAACACTGCAAAAACAAATCCAGGTCCAGCAGCCTGAAGTCTGGTGGATGGGGCATCCAGATCACCACTGAATGGTGTGCGGAGAAGACAGAAACCTTGGGACAATAGAGGAGGCTACTACTGGGAAAGTCTGCATGTGCTAGGGTTGAGGGGGAAGGAGTTTACCAGTCCTCCTTCTGGTAGTTTTCCATTTAAGTTCTCATCCTTGCTCACTAGATGCTTAAACTCTGTTGTTTCTACCCTGCTGCCAGCCCTTTCTAAATTCAGCCTTACGAAGGTCAAAGCCCTAGTCACCCCACCCTAGCTAAGATTCTGGCAATTGTTTCAAGATGAAATTTTAGGCCCAGTGAGGAATCTAATGCTGACAAATTCAGTCATGGTTTACTTACTCGTTCCCCTCTTTCTCCTTTTGCTCCAGGAAGACCCTAAAAGAAATTAAAAATGACTGTTACTTTTAACATGGTATATACCAAAACATCCCACCAGCACCACCTTCCATTTCAGAGTATGCTGCTGTTTCTAAATAGGATAGACAGTATAACAGTATAACAATAAATAGATAGATAGGATAAGCCAGTATCACAAAAAATTTCCTTTCAACTTGATTCTCTGAGTGATGATAGGATTCAAGAATAATGGAGACATTGCTATTTCTCTCTTTTTGTAAAGTTATAATGTCTAAGTGCTCTTATTAATTCTCCTGTTAATAGAAGTAGTTCTCATTCCCAGGAATAGAATTATTTTGTTCATAAGATGATCATTTTTGAGCTAGAAGGGATCTTACAGGCCATTTGCTTGACACTTTTATTTTAGAGATTAGAAAAATGGATCAAAGATATTAAGTGATTTGCCTAAGGTCATTAATATGTTCTAGAGGCAAACTTGACCCTGAGTCCTCGTGACTCTAAGGCCAGCTTTCTATGGACTCTGCCTCTCAGGAGTAAAAATAGTAGGCGATGAATACTTTTTTTAAATTGAATTGAATGTTGGGAAATATATTTATTACATGAATAAGACCCATAGGTAATGTCAATTATAGGCAATTTCTAATGTATAAAGACAGGCACTTCTCAATATGACCTACAAATCAGCCACATAATGATACCATTAATTAGTAATTCAATTCAATTTGACAAGGGGAAGAGAGGGAGATATTGAATTGACATTTATTAATTTTTAATTCATTATTAATTCATTATACCTAGTATGTACCAGGTGGGGCAGCTAGGTGGAGCAGTAGATACAGCGCCAGGCCTGGAGTCAGGAAGATCTGAGTTTAAAGCTGACCTCAGATACTTACTATCTGTATGACCACTTGCCCAGGCAAGTCACTTAATCCCTACTTGCCTCAGTTCCTCATATGTTAAATGGGGACACACTGGAGAAGGAAATGGCAAACTACCCCAGTATCTTTGCCAAGAAAACCCAAAAGGACAAAAGTCCATGGAGTCAGGCATAGTTAATTACAACTGAACAACAACACACCAACAAATGTACCAGGCACTGTGCTAAGTGCTTTACAAATATTATTTTATTTGATCTTTACAACAATCATGAGAAGTAGGTGTTACTATAATCCTCATTTTACAGTTGAGGAAACAGGCAGACAGAGGTTAAATAGCTTTGTCAGAGTCATATAGCTAGTAAATATCAGAGGCAAGATTTGAACTCAGGTCTTTCTGACTCCAAGCCCAGTGCTCCATCTACTGTGCCACCTGGCTGCTTCAACAAGCATTTATGGAGCGCTTACTATGTGCAAAATATTATGCAAGGCACTCAGGATACAAAGACAACCAAACATCTGTTCTTTAGGACAAGGTAGGAAGGGTCAGTAGGAGTTTTTGCAAAACAGTGCCCCTGTGTAATAACAAATTATTGTTTACTCTAACTTGTCTGACCCATTTCCTTTGATTTTGTAGAGTAAAGCAAAATAAAATAAAAATTCCTCACCAGGTTAATTCCCATAACTCCACCAAAAGCATACTTTGAGGGAAAACACATCTTCCTTGAAGATGCTGAGTAGACTGGAAAAAGTAGCCAATTTTTCTTTGAACTTTAGTAACATTTGAAATGTAAAGAAAAGAAACTACAGTAGTCACATTCATAGAATCTTAGGATGGAAGAGACCTTAACAAACATCCACTGGCATCTGCTTATTTTGTAGTTACCTACAAAATAAATTCTCAATTCCTTAACCAGATTTTGAAGTTCTTCCATAATTTGACCTTGGCCTCCCTTTCAAATTTAATCTTAGTCTTTCTTTGAATAAACTTTATTATTTAGTCAAACTAGACTACTCATTATTCCCTAAACATGAGGTTTCCCACTTCCATTCCTTTACCCAGGATTTCCCAACCCCTTCATTGTTCCATTTCTGTCAATCAGAATTTTCTTGTTATTTTTTAGTCACTTTTTAGTTGTGTCCAACTCTTTGTGATCCCATCTGCAGTTTTCTTGGCAACGATAATGGAGTGGTTTTCCATTTCCTTCTCAAGTTCCTTTTACAGATGAGGAAACTGAGGCAAACATGGTTAAGTGACTTGCCCAGGATCACATAGCTAGTAAATGTCAGGCCAGATTTGAACTCAGGAAGATGAGTCTTCCTGACTCTACATCAGCACTCTATCCACTGCACCACCTAGATGTCCTTACCTATGCTTTGAGGCCCACCCCAAATACTATCTGTTTCATGTAGCCTTCTCTGACTGCCTTCCATGTCCCCTTAACTCAGAAGTGATTGGAACGCCTCCTCTAGAAGAGGAAGAGAGGTAGAGTAGAGAGAGTACAGAATATGGACTCAGAAGACCTGGGTTCAATTAGGAATTCTGTCTTTCATTACCTGTGTGGCCTTCAGCAATCACTTGACCTTTCTAAGACTCATTCTTCTCATCTATCAAATGAGGAAGGAAGTTGTACTAAATGGCTGCTGAGGTCTCTCTTGGTTCTACATCTATGGTCCAATACCTGAATTCTCTGGGCATTTTGCTTTCTTAATACACTCATCATGGACTGCTTCACATCTTACTTTATTTGTATATGTATGTGTACATGCACATGTACCACTTCACATGGATCACTTCACATTATAATCTTGTTGTATTTGTATATATATGTGTACAAGCACATATGTGTATGTCCTTTCTAGATTGTAGTCTCCTAAAAGTGAGGGATAGTGAATTATTCACCTTTATAATCTGCACAGTGCCCAACACAGTGGCTTGGACATAGCAGGTCAATGATTAGTTGATGAAAGAATGAGAAATTTAGCCCTGGGGAGGGAGAGTAACTTGCTTGTGGTCATATAGTCGGTAGAACTAAAAGTAAGATTTCTGATTGGGTTCTAGCATGCTTTGACTCAATTAATGACATTATACCAAGAGCTAATGAATAAGTCTAAATTCTGATCCTAGAGCAAAAATTTCAGATAAATCCCTTTTGTTGATTTAAAAATCTTGCAAAGATTAAATGATTACCTACTTAGGAGGGCATTCTCAACTCTGTGCCTGTTCACCACCTGTCCCCCATTCTCAAGGCTCAGCTCAAATCCCACCTTCTTCAGGAAGTCCTTCCTGCCCCATGCCCCAAATGAAGTGATTACCTCCCATTTACACTGTACATTATCTCATATGCACTTATTTCCTTCCATATTGTTTCCCCCATTAGAACTTTGCCTTTTTGAGGCCAGGGGATGTTTTTGTCATTCTTTGTATCACAACACCTGGCACACAGTAGTTTGTTTTGTTTGTTTGTTTTTTTTTAATTAATAGGGTTAAATGACTTGCCCAGGGTCACATATCTAGTAAGTATCTTAGGCTAGATTTGAACTCAGGTCTTCCTGACTCCAGGGCCAGTGCTTTATCCACTCCTTCGCATGCTGCATCCTCCCACCCCAGTAAATCCTTGTTGACTGAATGACCAGAAAGAGACCTTGCTCTGGATGGTGAAGTCTTGGGTTCAAGTCTTAGCCCTATGATTTACCTTCCACATAACCTTGGAAAAGTTAATTTCCATGGTCATCAGTTTTCTCTTCTGTAAAACAAAGTAGTTGGCCTAGATACTCTCTAAAGCAGGGGTTTTCAACCTGGGGTTTATCAGTATTTTGACAACTATTTCAATATCATTGGATTCCTTTGTCACCCTACGTCCTTCATGCATTTAATAACATTATTCTCAGAAGGGCACTGTAGGTTTCACTAGACTGCCAAAGGGGTCCATGACACAAAAAAATTTAAAAATCCCTGCTCTAAAGTCTCTTCCAGATCTAAATCCTATGATCATAATAAAAAATCTTAAATATTTATACCTGGGATAGGTGGCAAGGATCCAATTTTACTGATGAGGAAATTGAGGCAAAAGAGGGATAGTGACTTGCCCAACACATGGCAGAATGAGGATCTGAACCTAAGTCTTCCACCTCCAAATCTAGTGTTCTTTCTGCTCAGGCAGCATGCACAATTCAAGTAGGAATTGGAGCAGTAGCAGAACCTTGCACCAAGAGGCAGGAGGCCCAAGGTGGGTGTTTGGCACCAATGTGGGAAACATGTTGTCTTGTTCAAGTGCTGCCCGTGTCTGTCTTTCTTGGCCTCTTTTCCTCCTCCCTTCCTAGACAGAGGTCCAAATAAAACTAAGAAAGGCTTCAAAATCCAAATGGGGCCATGATTCACTGAGAATGACAAATAGCTGAGAATGACAAACAGCCCATGGGCACAAGGCAAAAGGAAATCTCTGGCCCAGACTGGAAATTATAGGAAAAAAACTCAAGGTCTTTGGGGACCCTAATTCTGAAACCCTAACTGCTCTCTGGGAAACACAGAAAGGGAATCTTGACTGTGGTATTCCCAACTTGAAGAATAAACATAATGTATGACTACATAAAGTACCCAGAGTGATTGTCCCAAAATTTCAAAGGTCGCTTAGACAGACGTGCCTTGTAAGTAAAGGCCTATAAAGAAATCAAAGTATATGGATGAGATTGCTGATGATAAGTTTGGCCTGTGCAAATGCTCAGGCAGAGTGAAATTTGGGGAAGTCAAACCATTTTTTGAAACTGTAAGTATGAAATGTACTATGATTTTACATATGAGCAGCCAGAGCCTGGGGAGTAGGGGATTGGGAAATAGGGAGTGGAGGGGGGTGGGGTGGGGATAAGAGAGGGGCAGAATGTGAAAGTCATGAGAATACTCAGAGGCCTTGACAGATTTACTCTTCTAGGTACTAGTCACTTCCATCCAATAGCCATCCTTTCCCCTGGATCCCCTACTTCTCATCTTCCCAAAATTATGGTTATATTTGGAGCTGTTCATACAGTTAAGTTTTCATGTCAGAGACATATGTCATTTAAAGACCGTTGATTAATATTTATAGAAGGAATTATTCAATAATCTGTTTGGATTGGGTTTGTTTTTTGTTTTTTGTTTTTAGAATTAGAGGTCATCTAGTCAAATAACCTCATTTTCCAAATCAAGAAACTGAGACCCAGAAAGGTTCTCACTTATTTCTTTCTTCTTCCCACTTCATCAAAATTAAAGAGTAGCCCAGAAGATTTAAAACCTGAAGATAAAAGGTAGGCAAATGTGAAGATAAAGACCCTAGGAAGAAGCCAACATATAGAGAATCTGGTATCTCAATCATGTCCAAACTTGTCCAAATTCTATGTATTGTTTGGTATATTTTTACCTGTATATCTTCTCTGATTTCTGTTTGCTCTTGGCTTGGATAAATAGGTTTATTTACTATTTACTACATGGGCTATTTGTGTTACTGGCATTTGGTGGGAAGGCAGTTAAGCATAGGAGACATTATTGGAAGAGAGCCTTTTAAGCAATGTTTTGCCTATTGAAGTGTCAATAAGCAAAAATGACAACAAAAAAAAGATAGACAAATCATAAAGAACAAGGATGTCAAGGTAGAGAATTCCATTTAAGGTGTTTGACTTACACTTCTATTCTAATGCTGTATATTTAAGTAAGGGACTTTGGCTTTTAGGAGGGAAAATCACATTTTCATTCCATATTTGAATTTTACAAGCATTTTAAAATTTTGAATCAGGAGCTAGGTTTTGCCAATACATCTTTAAAATTTTTAATCTTTTAAAACATCAGGCTTTACTGAACCAAACCTGGTCTTGATACTTAGCTTGTAAACAAGCATAATTCATGTACTTGTTTCTTATTCTTTCCTCTTGTGGCCATTAGCTATTATTTCATCTTTGTTATGCTTTCTCTGTTAGATTGAGGTCCCATAAGAAGCTTTCTTTAAAACCTCCTCACAGTCCTTAACATAAGGCTCCATATTCAAGAAATGTTTCTGAGTGACAGAAATGCTAACTAGATTAAATGTGGTAACAGGAGATGGCTAGAATCATTATGGTTGTGAACATATCACAGTACTTACAGGAGGTCCTAGATCACCTTGTGGTCCAGTGTTTCCTGTGATACCTGGAACGCCTGGGGCTCCTGGAATACCCTAGTAGATGACCAGGTAAACAGAGAGAGTCAAGATCCACATTTCTTCATCAATAATATTCAAAATTCTAACAGTTAAACAAATAACAAAGTTCTCTTCTCTATCTCGAATTACTGATCAGTGGTACATTTCTCAGCCCCTTTGCTCCTCCCGATTCTCCCCCTCCCTCACTTCCAGGAAAATAGAGAACCAATTTCCAAATAGACTCCACTCCTGAAATCAGGAGAGATTTCACCAAATTCATGCCCTATTTATATCCAAAGGAAAATTGAGTAAATGGGTATGATCAACTGCCAATGTGGTGAAACCATAGAATTACAGGAACTACAAATAGGTAACTGTATTTATAATAAATGTCATATATTATATTTAAATGCTGCTACAGCCAATTAAGGCAACTGCTGCCACTGTCCAATTGTTACTATTATTTTTCATTTCCCCATACATACAAATAAACTTGATATTTAAATAATGATTTTTTGAATGAACACATTGTCTGGCATACATTTTCATCTGAGTCAAAAAGAATCTAAAATTCTCAAAAGTATGATTCCCTTTGCCATATCATGATGCAATGTAATGGCTATGTCAGCAAATAATTTACAAATGACTTGTTTCCAATAAGAGTGAAAGTGCAACTTCAGCAATTTACCAGATAACTCTTCACTCCAAATGGCTGATCATCTTTAGAAGAGGGAACCAAGCTACTAACACCAGCTAGGTGTTTTGACAACAACACTAATAACACAATAAAAAGAATTCATGTTTAAATAGTACCTTAAGGTTCCCAATCACTTCACATACTTGCCCTTAATAGAGGCTGGTTTAGACAATGAAGAGTATATCACTAATTATGAATACATAGCAGGTTCATAACAATTACTTCTTGAATTTAATTTAATCAGAGTCCTAATTAGGGCAGGGTATCCTTGGCTCTATCCTAGGGTGCTGACATCTTTAGGGAGAATACCACCTCCTCTCAGCCTCATAGCTTGAGTTAACTCCTAAATCTATGTCATGTGGCAACCCTCCACCCCCAAAGATGGCACCTCTGTCCTGGGGCCTGCTTTCTGCTCCCCACCTCCCCACTTTTCCTCTTACCCTTCTTACATTTTCTATCATTTGGGGTTGGGGTTATATAAGGTCTTTGGAGAATGAACAAAACCCATTTCAGGTATCGTATTCCATCGTCCCTTGTCTTTTGCTCTGTCCTATTCAAATGAATTTTCCCTAGGCATCATAAGTCATACCTCTGAAATGAATTTAATAATTTTGGGGTTTTTAGTGATGATGTCAATGTAAATACCTCACAGACAGAAAAAACATTTACAACCTTAAAACCAAGGAAAATGCTGCCCTTCATAAGAAGAACACCATTATTCTCATGTTAACATATAATTTACTCTGTGATAATTGCTCCAGAGGATATTCTGGGGACTGGTATTTGGACAGCTCCACTAGTACTCTTAAGATAGCGGGAGAAAGCAAAAGAGGCTTCTAGCACACTGGGTGGGTCCCTTGTAGGGAAATTATGGGAGAACATGGACCAGAGTCACATGAGATGGGCAGGCATGTATGGATCATGAGCTGCATTGGCAGAAGGAACTCCTAAATTGATGAGATCATGTATTTGAGTATGTTCAGGGGCATGACCTGTTCAGCATCAAAGGGAGATCCTTCAAATTGAAAGTGCCAAAGAGCAAACAGATCCACTGTGGCCTCAGCTCCTCTTTTCCAAATCTCCCTTGACAATTTCAGAGAATGGGATCTGTTAAGAGAATCGTTCAGAGAATGATGTTAAGTATGAATTGATCCATCATATGGTACTTACTGCCTTTGGACTGGTATAACCAATCAGCCTTCCCTAACAGAGGGCAGCCCCTTTCAATGACATGCAGAGAAATTTACATATGAAATATTAGAATCTTAAAATGGTAAAGCTGGGAAGGGTTTTAAATATTACCCAGTCCAACATCATTTTTTTTTCATAAATGAGGAAACAGAATGTCCATGTCCACAGTCATCCTATTTTTCACAGTTGCAGAAATGATGATTTAGGTTATAATAATATAATAATAATAATCACCAACATTAACATAGTGCTTTAAGGTTCACAAAATTCACATTATCTCCGGAAAAGAAAATGCAACAGAAAAAAAAACAATTGGAAAGAAAGTCTATCCCATCAGATTCTGCAGACACTTACAATTGGTCCAGGGGGTCCTGGGGGGCCAGTGGATCCATCTTTACCAGGCAGGCCCTACAATAAAGAAACATAAAGTATACAAATCATTCTTTAGCATGAGACTTTCAGAAAAGGCTTTACAAATTTGGGGGCTCTAAGACCTGTTGCTTATTCTGGGCTACCAGGGAATGGTTTCTTTCAGACTCTTCAGGGGAGTGTCTTTTTGACTGTATCTTTGGCAATATCTTTGTGTCTTTTGGCTGTGTTAAATGATCCTCTGTGGGACTTTAAGGTGTAAAAATTACCACTTACAAACTTAAGCAGGAACTAGTTTCTGGAATGTGTTTTTATAAATTAAGCATAACAACTGAGAAGGGAAACATTCCCCTGGTAAATAATGACCAGGTAAGAGAATGAATGAGTAACTCTGATCACCTAAGAGGCCCTTAGATGTTGTTATTGTTGTTGTTGTTGTTGTCTTTCATTTTAGAAGGCGACCAATGACATAGAAAATCTCTTTACCAGAAGTCAATATTGCTAATCAATTTCTATGTAGAATCTGAGGCTCTAAAGAGAAGATAATCAAAACCTGTGATTTCATTGGTGTGGTGACCCTGCGGTGTAAAAACCCTCTGCCCCGATATAGACAGATAAATCATCTGTAACTTATACTCTTATATAGTGGCATAGGGACACCAAGAAGTTCACCAAAGTGCTCATGGATTCAAGCCTAATAACTATCAATGGGCGCAGCTAGGTGGTGCAGGGGAGAGAGCACCAGCCCTGGAGTCAGGAGGAGTTCAAATTTGGCCTCAGACAAATACTTACTAGCTGTGTGACCCTGGGCAAGTCACTTAACCCCATTGCCTAGCCCCCAAAGAAAAAAATATCAATGGCAGCATTTGAACCCATTCTTCTCGATATAAAGGCAAGTATTCTTTTTTCTTTTTTTTTTGCTTTTTGGAAATTGAGGAAATTGAGGCAAACAGAGTTAAGTGACTTGCCCAGGGTCACACAACTATGCTATATTATATCTCTAATTATGCTTATAAGTGCTGAAAGTTAAAAAGTGGATTACCTACTCTTGTATGGCTAGCATATGTGACCGACAGTATAGGCATACACCACCTAACGTTGTTCATGAACCACATGAAACCCTACCGGAACACTGCTTGGTCAATCTCTCCTTTATAGCTTTGTTCCTATAGAATTAACTGATCCCATTATGTTGTTTCACTTACTACCATGGATTCATGGGATCACTTAACAGTATTAGCAATACTTATCTTCCTCTTGAAGTCAGTCACAAAAGATTAGCCCTTCCTGGGGGCAGCTAGGTGGCACAGTGGATAGAGCACTGGCCTTGAAGTCAGGAGGACCTGAGTTCAAATCTGGCCTCAGACCAAAACACTTGACACTTACTAGCTGTGTGACCCTGGGCAAGTCACTTCACCCCAATTGCCTAAAAAACAAAACAAAACAAAACAAAACAAACTTAATCTTTCAGGGGCAGCTAGGTGGAGCAATGGATCAAGCACCAGCCTTAGATTCAGAAGGACCTGAGTTCAAATCCGGCCTCAGACACATAACACTTACTAACTGTGTGACCCTGGGCAAGTTACTTAACCCCATTGCCTAGCCAAAAAAAAAAAAAAAGATTAGCCTTCCTTTTCACTTTTCCACTAAGTGCCACCATTTACTATTTCAATGAGGTTTGACAAGCATTTATTAAATACCTACTATATGCCAGACACTGTGCTAGGACCTGGGGACAAAAATCTAAAAATGAGACCCTCCCCGCCCTCAAAGAACTTATATTCCATAAGGGACACATACAGTGGTGTGCTGGTAAATGTTTAACAATTAACTCTCCAAAAAAAACCCCAAAAAACAAAAATAAGAATACACTTTTAAGCTTAATCTGCATTATTAACATTTTTCTATCACTTTCTTTGAGCAGCTGGATGGTGTCGTGCATACAGCACTGGCCCTGGAGTCCAGAAGACTCATCTTCCTGAGTTAAAATCCAGCCTTACACACTTACTAGCTATGTGACCCTGGGCAAGTCACTTCACCCTGTTTGCCTCAGTTTTCTCATCTGTAAAATGAGCTGAAGAAGGAAATGACAAACCACTCAGTATCTTTGCCAAGAAAACCCCACATGGGGTCACGAAGAGTTGGACATGACTGAAATAATTCAACAACACCACTTTCTTAAGTCTCTAGAGTCTAAATGACCGGCTAAACAATAAATCAAGCCCTGATTTATAACACTGGATAATTTCCAAGTAAATGTTCACACTAAAAATATAACAATCGGTTCTTGACAGCTGGTTCAAGATGACTTCAGCACACCCTTGGGCATATGACATGTTCACAGATAAGAACTTACAGGATAAAAATAAAATACACAGTGATTTGGGGAGGGAGAATAAGGAAAGGCCTCTTGAAGGCAATGGCATTTGAGCTGGACTTTAAAGAGAGCTCAGGGTTCCAAGAGGCCAAGGAGAGGACAGAGAACATTCCAGATAAAGGGAATGGCTTGTAGAAGGGTGAGAAGGTAGGAGATGGAATGTGATGTATAGGAACAGTTAGTAGGCCAATTTGACTGTAGTGTAGAATCCATCAGGATAAGTAACAGGCAGCCAACCAGCCTGTAGACATAAGCTGGAGCCTAATTGTGATGTGTTAAACTCAAATAGAAATGAATACCCACAGGGCCACATATAAACTTAGAAAACCACAAGTTAGCATCATCTGGGTTTTATTGTATTTTTATTTATTTTGTTAAATATTTCCTAATTACAATTTTAATATGGTTCAGAGTGGAATTCTGTGGACTGCCTGCTGCTGGCTATCTGTGAGTGATCTGACACCTTATTTAGAATCTGAATGAGGAACAGAGGTATTTGTAGCTTAAGTTAAGGACAATAGAGAACCACCGAAGTTTTTTTAAGTAAAGAAATGACATGGTCAGATGTGCACTTTAGGGATACCAATTTGGCAACTGTGTGGAGGATTGATTGAGGACTGGAGATACTGGATGCATGGAGACCAATTAGGAGGTTTTACAATAATAATAAATCATAGTTCACATTTATATAGGGCCTACTATTTGCCAGGCACCGTGCTAAGAACTTTTCAATTATTATCTCATTTGATTCTCACAATAATCCTGCAAAGTAAATGCTATCATTATCTTCATTTTACAAATGAGGAAACTGAGGCAAATAAAGGTGAAGTGACTTGCCCAGCGTTATATAGTTAGTAAGTGTCTGAGGCTAGATTTGAACTCAGATCTTCCTTATCCCAGGCCCAGTGATCTATTCACTGTGCTTCCTGAGGGCCTGTACTAGGGCAACTGGGATATGAATAGTAAGAAAAGATTTATGTTCTATATGTTAAGGAGATAAGACAGCAACTGATATGGGGTAGGAGAAATCTAAGAGTCATAGATAACACTTAGGTTGTCAATCTTGGGGTGGGAGGCCTGGAAGAATGACAGTGTTCTCAAGATAAGTAGATGTGGGGGCAGTTAGGTGGTGTAATGGGTAGAGCACTGGCCCTGGAGTCAGGAGGACCTGCGTTAAAATCCAGCCTCAGGCCAGACACTTGACACTTACTAGCTGTGTGACCCTGGGCAAGTCACTTAACTCCAATTGCCTCACCAAAAAAAAAAGTAGATGTGTTAGGAGGAAGGGTGGGTTTACGGGGAAAGATTATAAATTCTGTTTTGAACAATTGAATTTGAAATGCCTATGTTACATCCAACTGGAGAAGCCAAGTAGTCAGGTGAAGATGCAGCACTGATGCTCAGGAGAGAGATGTGGGCTGGTCTGGTAGATTTGGGAGGCAGTTGCTTAGAGATGAAAATGGACTCATCTGCTTTCAGGTGGAAGCTGATGAGATTGCCGAGGGAGTGAACAGAGAGAGAAGAGGAGAGGGTCCAGGACAGATCCCTGCAGTACATTCAGGAATAGGAGACTGGACAAGAATAATGATCCTGGAAGGGTATGGTCTGAAAGATAGTCAGACAACCATGAAAGATTAGTATCCTGAAAACCCAGGGAGGAGAGAAAGGTGGTCAACGCTCCTAAGCATTGCAGGAAGGTCAAAAGGATGAAGATGGAGAAAAGTCAATAGATCAAATCCAAGCCCTTCATTTTAAAGACAGAAGACCAGTGAGGTCTTCAGTGAGGTGATCTGCTGAGTGGGGTAAAGAAAAAAAATTAATTACTAATGCTAATTACTAAGCTTTAGAAAGCTCCTCTTAGGATACCATGACTTTGGAGCCCATTTTCAACCATATAAGAAAATTATTAAAAGAGAATTCTTATGGTTTTTCATTTTCTAAAGATATAAAAGACTAAATATTAAAATGTCAAACCCATATGCACATAGAGCCACATCCCTCCAGCATGCACTCATTCCCAGCATGCTTTTTTAGTGTCCTCCCAGAGGAATAAGACTTCAAACGGAATCCCAGGCAGTGGGGCTCACAGAGGGAGTAAAGCCAAGCCCAGAGCATTTTTTTTTCAGCTCTGACTTCAGATAGCAACATTATTCTGACAAAGATCAAGAGGGAATAAATAAACCTGCCCCCTGCCCTTTCTCCTAAACTTGTACAAAGGGGTTTAGAAGCAATTATCCCATGGTGTTGGTTTTGAATACAGTGATTCAATTGCCACGTGTACAATTTGAGGAGGCCCCTGAATTTAAAAAAGCATTGGCTAACCACATGTGTTTAAACTTCAGAGAAGAGGGGAATTAAAGGTTGTTCTTGACACAGACCCTGCTTGTGCTTTGGCTCAAACTCGCTGAATCATAGAATTGCACAATCCCTGACTTGGAAGGGCGCTCAGAGGCCATGTGGTCTAGAGCCCATATTTGACATCCTCTGCAAATGGTCATTCAGCATTTACTTAAAGACCTCTGTCAACAGGGCACTCACTACTTCCCAATGAAGTCCAATTCTACTCCTAGCTACTTCTAGTTGTTTAGATGTTTTCTCACCCTGGAATATCCTCTGCCTCCGTGACCCCCTTCTCCCATTGGTGAGTTCCTCCTCTTACCTC